TATGATTTGTTTATTTTATAATCGTGTAAGTGTGTTTGTTAATATTGATTAAAAATAAACTTTTCCTAATAATACATTGATATGCCTTTATTAAGATTCAAGTAATTCCAAAAATATCATTGTTCTTTCAACTCAAACAGAACTATACCTTCCATTTACAGGTTGACAATAATGAATTCTTCACAAGTCTATTTAAAAAACGATCGGACACATATGAAAAGAATATATATAAATCAGTAAATAGCAGATGAAGCATCATAGGAAGATTTATTTGTGCTTACAAGCATAAAGAAAAACCTTATATTTAATTATTGAAGAACGAAGAAAATCAAATTTAAAATGGTTGCTTGGTATCGATGTACGTATTATCAGAATTTGTATTAAGATGTTTTACTTTTCCATAATCACAAGCTGTATGTTCATCATTAGTTGCATGAAAGAAAAATTTCTGAACGACTTAAACTTGGAGAATTTATATTGGAGAAATATTATTGAGGAATATAAAATTAAAATTTTTACGTTTTAATTATATAACTTGATTTGGTAATTCGCAAAATCTTATTGCAATGCTACCACGAGATATAATCAATAATCAAATCAAAAAAAAACACAAGAACATTCAAATTCTTTCTGAACTTAACGAGCAATCACCTATAAAGAAGCCAATTTATCTGAACTTACAAATAAGTAAAATCAAAAGAATTTGATGATGATGTATCAGATCTTAATTCAGCTTCTAGGAAAAATTTTGCTAAAGGTATTGAAATGATTCCAGCCCTCAAATGGATAATGGATATTTGGTGATAGAAAAATAATTCATTTAGATATTAAATAACGTGGCACAACGGTCGTGTTTAATTATAAGCCAGCAAAGTTGGAAACTCGAAAGTTTAATGAAGTAGATAATTAAAATAATAAATTAATTAACGTATATTTTACATATGTAATTGTGCATATAAAAATTATGGCACTTATATTATTTAACACTTATTTATTTAACTTATTGTTGACAGTTTTTATTTTTGGTTAGAACAGAGCAAATACTATAAGCAAAAAAAAATTTCTTTCTTTTTCGATCCTGTAGTATTTTATATTGATCGGCGAATTTTCCTGGCGTAATAATATTCAGCACTACAGTTAAACACTACATTTCAAAATTTTCTTATAATTAAAAATCTTGTCTAAGAAATTAATTTTTGTTTTAATGAAAAAAATTCCTTGCAAAATTTTCATATATACTTTGCTTTACCCAAATCTTAAACCCTTAAACCGAATCCTAACCCTGGCCATAATTTTTTACGCATTACGTTTATTTTGTGATTTACTTATAAAATTTTATTTCAAAAAAATAATTAAGGATGGTATTTCAAGTATAGTGTTTAGACCTCAAAATCATTATGCTAACTAAAATTCAAAATTTATATATCCTATAACTGCACTCTAGCCATAAATTTTCATAGTAAAATTATATACGGTGTTTAACACCATCATAGGTAACGCACCACAAAAATTGTGCCCAATTAATTTTTTTCCAATAATAAAGTCATATTTTAGTTTGGGCTTGAATTAAAATAGCTTTGCGACTATTGGTAGAATTTCACGAGGTGCATTTTTTTAATTAGGCCACAAAAGATAATTTCTTAATTATATTTCGGGTTATTTTGCAAAAATTATTTCGTTTCAATTTCAATTGTTTACGTTCACATGATTTTGAAATTAGCACGGGTTATTCTTACGTAATAATGTAATAATCAAATGCAGAAATGTGATACGTATCAACATTTAATTAACGATTAACGTTAGCGTTAGGCCATTTTTCCTAAATCTTTTACCCCTTTCAAAATGATTGCATTACCAAACGAATGTTTTGTTGAAATCTTTAATAATCTTAAAAATTACTATAGATTCTTATTTTCATGCCTTCTTGTAAACCGTCAATGGTGTAGAAACGTTGTTCCAATTTTATGGAGTAAAGCACTCTCACGTTTCTTAGATGTAAGACTTATGAAAATGTGTCTTTTATTCTTGAATTCCGAAGAAAAAGCGTCGTTAATTTCATTAAATTTATCTCTTCCAAATGATTCAACTCCATTATTCGATTACACATCTTATGTAACATTGATCTATAGCTCTATATTAGAAAAAGGGATTAAAAATTGGTTTGGTTATGAGGATCATACCATTTCTGATTTTCGTTTTAACAATTACGAACATTCTGAGAAAGCAATTCAAACAGTTGAATATTCTTTAATTACAATGTTATTACGAACAAGTAAGAATTTGGAGAATTTATACATTTCTGATATTACTATCGGTAAAGTAATAGGTCCAATAGTAGGCACTCTTCATGATAATTCTACTATTACTTCAGTGGATCTTACTTATATTCGAATTAATTTGGAAGACGTGAAAGCTTTGGCAGAGATTCTTTGTAGAAATACCTGCCTGAAATCATTAGCAATTGATAGATGTGGTTTTGGACCTGAGGAAACAGAAATATTAGCAAAGGCTCTTTATGAAAATACGACCTTGTCTTCCCTCAATCTTTTTAGAAATGGACTTGGTTATGATGGTGCAGAAGTATTTGTACAAGTACTTTACAAAAACTCTAATCTAACTTATTTAAATCTTGCTTTTAACCAATTGGGACCTGAAGGTGCAAAATTACTTGCTGAGGCACTTTACGAAAACAATTCCTTGACTTCTTTAAATATTGACATTAATAATCTTGGCTCTAAAGGAGGCGAGGCATTAGCAAAAGCTCTTTGCAGAAATACAACGCTGACCTCTTTAAGTATTTATTATAATAATATTAATTTTGGAGGAATAAAAGCAATAGCAGATTCACTTTACAAAAACACCAGTTTAACTTTTCTGGATATTGGAGATAATGGAATTGGTGATGAAGGTAGCAGAGCGATGGCTGAAGTTCTTTGTAAAAACACTAATTTGACTTCCCTAAGTCTTCGTCAAGGTAGAATCGGTGTTAAAGGAGGCAAGGAACTAGCAGAAGCTCTTTATACAAATACTACTCTAACCTCATTGAACCTTCATAATAATAATCTTGGATCTGAAGGTGCAGAAGCATTAGCAGGAGTTCTTTGTAAAAATAATCATTTAACATCGTTGGATCTTAGTAATAATCGTATTACTTTCGATGGAATGAAAGCGTTATCAGAAGCTCTTTTCAAAAACTCCATTTTAACTTCATTAAATCTTTCTAATAATGGTTTTTCTTTGGAAGGTGTGAAAGCATTAACAGATGCTCTTTGCAAAAACACCACTTTAACAAACTTAAATCTTTCTCATAACAAACTTGATTTCGAAGAAGGAAAAGAATTAGCAAATGCTCTTACCAAAAACACCACATTATCTTCTTTAGATCTTAGTTTTAATCAATTTAGTTATGATACTATTAGGTTATTAGTAGAAGTTCTCCGTAAAAACAATACCTTAATCAATTTAAATATTTCTGACAACTATCTCCTTCTCGAGGAATACTATTCATTAGCAAAATATTGTTATAAATATAATCATTCCATTTTATTAAATTATTTTGGTGATTTATTTTAAACTTACAGAATTCTTGAATTTAAATTTTCGAAATTTCATGTAATTAACCAATATAAATAATTATTTTAATAAAGATTGCTTAATTTAAATTTTGGGATTATGTTTATTTAGTCTAGATAAATATTTTATTTTTGTTTTTATAAATACAAAGTTTTACAAAGCAGATTTTACGCATCAAAATTAAATCGTCATCCAGATTCTTCTATGAGTGACTGTCATTATAAAAATCCAATATTCTATTTCAAAAAGTCCGTTTTATATGTAAATAACAAAAGGTTCAGTCCTCAAAGAGTTACTATGTTGCTAATCCGAAAATTATCATAAAATTTACAAATGTTTTGTGTTCGTTTTATTAAATGTTCGGATTATCCAAGTTCGGATTTAAAGAGTTGACTGTAATAATTTCCACCAAACAGTCCCGAAAAAGTGAAAATTGTTAAAGTTATAGATGAAATAGTCTCGGAGTAGATTTTCATCAGTCTAAATGTCTATTTATCAAATTATACTAACATTCAGCAGACTAATCAAATTTTCAGGTCGGAATATACCAGCATTAATAATTTTTTTTTATTTACTAATCACAGATAATTTTTCTTAAAATTTGAGATAAAGTAATTTTAATAAATTTTTATCAAAATACAAATTTAAAAGTCAAAACAATAAAAAATAGATTTACATATTTTTATATGAGTGCCGCCAAAGAAACACCTGAATCCGGAAAGTACAGATTATTATCATTACAATGAATCACTGATGATTTTAATAACCTCTACTTTCCGGATTCAGGTTTTTCCTTGGCGGCACTCATATACTAACAAGTTTATTTAGAATATAAGATCACTATTTATCAGTAAAATTTTAAGTTTTATATATTAATTAAAATTATTAGATGCTTTTTTTTTTAAGGTGAGGTTTTGATTCAGAATTTTATTTACAATTCATAAAAGATCTTATTAGTCTCTTATTACAGATTATAATATATATACAGAGGCTATTAGATGCTTTTTTTAAATTGGTCAATTATATTTGATTTTATATAGAGAAAGAAAATACTCTTATAGCAAATAGATATTATATAATATTCATTACAGCTTTTATTAATTATTTAATAATACAATCAGCCTTCTATACAATCACATAGTTGGGCACACGTTAATAACAAGGAAAATGAATATGGTAATTGAAGCCAAAATTCATTTATAACATTCATTGACAACTCTAACCTAAGTTATTACGCGCCCTCAAGCAAACTAAAAAATTCAAAAGTTTGAAATTTCATAAATACGCCTAATACTCAGTATTAAGCAATCACAACAGCCGCGAAATAATTACAGTTCCTTGATAATGCAAAGTCTCTAGAAGCTTGAAAGAATAAATTAGAAGTTAAATATGTTAAGTGTTTATAATTATTTAAGAGAATTATAAATTTAATAACGCTTGCTAGTAATGATAACATAGTTGACTGAATGTATCTTTTGTAAAATTAACGCAGTACTGATTAGAGAGTCCAAAGGTCGACTAGAAAATATCGCTTGAGGGCTTGCTTTTACATTGAGTATGGATTTTTTAACTTCGAGAAAACCTTCATTTGATTTTAATTTCTCATTTAGTGTTTGGTAAATATGATCAGCGGTTGGTCTTTTAAGTGGATCAGCGTCCCAACATTTTTCCATTAACTCAACAAAAAATAGTGGTGTGTTGTCAACAATTTCTGGACGAAGACCATTAAGAATATTTAAAATAAGAAACCCATCATGATCTCGATTAGAATGAGGCCTTAGACCACTTGTCAATTCCCATATAACCATTCCAAAACTATATATATCCGAAGCTGCTGTATATCTTTCACCATTGAATATTTCTGGTGCAACATAAGGAATCACACCATATATATTTTCTCCATTGACTATCGTATTCGCTGGTCTACTTATTCCAAAATCTCCAATTTTACACATTTTGCAATCACCGAAGACAAGTATATTACCACTATGCAGATCTTTATGAACACTTTGATTTTCATGAATTATAACAAGTCCATTTGCTATACGGGTTAACATTGCAAGTTTTTCTGACCAAGACAAAAGATGAAAATTTTTTAAAATAAAATTGTGCAAATCTCCATTAGTGCGTAGCGCATTACAATGATAAAATTTTCGGTTTCAGGATGTTGTGTAATGCCATAGTAATGGAGTAAGTCATTGGTAGACCTCTTTGAATTCATCTTAAAATTGAAATAGTTCTTCAACTAAAAAAAAAACAAATTATATTTGTTAATAATCTTTGTGGAATCATTATTCTAGCACTATGGTACCATTAATCTATTACCATTAATCTATCTCTTTGTAATTACAAATTAAACAAAACAAATATTTTTCATATATTGAGGTTAAATATTATCAGAACATTAAAAATAGTTCTATTCTCCCTTTTTTATAAATAATTATAATTGCTTATACCTCATACCAAATCTAATTGATTATAATACCTAGTGCTATTGCTATAATGTGATAATAACGCAGTAATCATCATTATAATATAAATATATAATACAAACCTCACTCAAAAAGTCAAGATCTATGTTTTTAGAATCGTTAAGACTTTTGAGAACAACGTCACTATTTCCTTGAAGATCAAATCTTTGTCTACGTGTGCTCCAATTATTTATTCCATTATAACATTTTGTTTTAAATATTTTACCAAAACCGCCTTTAGCAAGATAGGTAATATTACTAAATTTCTCAAATGGAATAAAATCTATATGCATAATACGATTTCTTTTCATGTTTAAATAAGCCAATTGTCTATAATTTCATTTCCGCTTAATATTAATTGATCATAATGATCACATAAATTGCATTTTGTGGCATTCTTATCTTTATGTAGCCTTGACCTTTTGCAATTTTTACATTTTTTTCTTACATGTAGTATGGAAATTGGTAAATTTTTATTCATAATATTGATAAAGTTATGTATGAACAATGATTAAATACCAATAATTTAATAGTTGCGTTTTAAAACCTTTCAAAATTGAATGGAATGTCTTATATAGAGTATATTTCGGAGCTCTCTCCTGGAAATTACCAAATTTAAAAATTGACCGACCTTTACTAAATATACGGTCATGCAGTATAGGAAAATGATATACGATAGTCATACCTATCACGTATTCAGCAGTATACACAATTGATAATATGTGTTGTAGAAAATAACTATATTTGCACGGGTTAACCAGTTCCACATGGCCGAAGGCCATCTGAAACGGGTTGACCCTTGCAAATTTAGTTATTTTATGCAATCCCATATAATAACTATATTATTGCACGGGTCTGATGTAACAGCATGTGCGAAGGCTCTGTCCAATAAGAATTTTTTTAAAAAGCGAAGAACTAAATCTAACCAATTATATATATAACTTTATCCAAAAATTTTAAAAAAAAACGAATCTTTAATCATGTAAAGGCTCCTGTTCAATGAAAAATGAAAATAAAATAACATGATTCCGTTTAGTGGAATATAGAAAATGAAGACTTAATAATAAATAACCTGGGTCTAATAATGAATAATTCTGTACACTAAGAATTATAAAAAAAAAGTTATGACTAATCTAACAAGAATTTAAAGAAAATGAAAATTAATAACATGCAACTTCGTCCAACAAAAATTTTAAAGTAAACGCTAAAAACGTGATTCTGTCTAGTAAGAATTTTAAAGAAAGCGATAAGAATTTTTAAAAAAATGCAAAATCTAAAAATGTGCGGTTATGTTTAATATGAATTTAAAGAAACGAAGATAGAAATGAAGATATAATAACGCCTTTAAAGAAAGACTATTATATAATGATTATTCAAAAGAAGTTTAAAGAAAATGAAAACAAACTAATGTTAACACTGTCCAATGACAAATTAAAAAGTAAAACCACAATTTTAAAAATATGAAGACAAATCAATTTAATAAAAATAAACAATTATTATAAATCGCATCAATGGTGTTGAACACCATATAATTTTTTATTATAATTTATTATAATTTTGTTGTCAATATTTAAGGTTAGGTTTTTTGGGTCGCTGAACATTTTTACTCAATATATCCGGCCTTGTTTATTTAGACAGTTTTTGAGAAATAGCAACTATGGTCTTAAACACCACTGGTGTGATTTAACAATGCCGAAAATAAAGTAACTAAATTGAAATACTTTCATATTTGATAAAATACGAAAGTGTTCCGATTAGTTATTTTTTAAATACGTGCTGTAATGAGTGAAAAAAAAGCACAGTTGTACCTGTGCAATAAGTGTGAAATACGTATTCACGTGTAATCATAATCAAGTTTAGTGATGTTTTTTTAGCAATGATAAACTTTTGATTCCTTTGAATGTTTAAAGATTTTGGTTTTCACTGTTGATCGTTTGATCGTAATTCAGCTGGCACTACTACTATTCTCAACCAAGTTTTACATAATTAAATGGTTCAATTCTTAGCTCTAATATTAATTGAATATATTTTCGTGACAATTATAATTCTTAAATATTTTGGTTAAAAATATCTTAAAAATATTCGATAATCGTTCTCACAGCGATGGCAATCAATTGTAAGCAAGATTTGTAAATATATCAGAAAATTTTAAGATTGTGATGATTTTTATTTATTAAAAAATTCAAGCCAGAAAGTCTCAGCATTATATTTACTTTTTTTTTAAAATAATTCTTAATAGCTTTATATAGTTTAAACCACTAAAATTAACAAACATATTTAAAAATTAATAATCTACTTTTGAAACCCATAAATCAACACCGGGAAGAGGTTTAGCCAAACCATTAAATCTCTTTTTAACAGTAAACCCTTCAACGGATCTAAACTCAAAATTTCTAATAATTACAGATAAAATAGATTTAAATTCCAAATAAGCCATTTTCATTCCTAAACAATTTTTTGGACCAGCACCAAAAGGTAAGAAATTACTATTTGTTATTTTTGATTTTATTTCAGGATTAAGCCACCGAGATGGGTTAAAATATTCAGCATCATCGCCCCAAATTAAGGGATCATGATGAATTGCATGGATAGGAATAAATAATGGTGTTTTCTAAAAGAAAGTTTTTTAAAATTATATACTATTTTACCAACCAATAAATTGATACATGGAATGTTTGAAAAAAATACCTTTGGAATAAAGTAACCATTCATTATTTCGTCTTTTGAATTAGAACGAAGGAGTGAAGGCACTTTAATAAACAAAAAAAAAAGATAGAATAAAGTTAAATAAATGAAATCATTCAAAATATAGAGATATTGAACTATTTATTTACAAGGTGAAACGATCCTCAAAGTTTCTTTAAAGACACATTCTAAAAATTTCAAATGTTCAATCTCATCAATAGATGGATGACAATTACGATCAATTAATACATCAGACACTTCTTTACGAAGACGATCCTGAATATCAGGATTTTTTGCGAGAAAATATAGTGACCAAGACAAGGTAGTATTAGTGGTCTCATGTCCAGCAGCGAGTAATGTCATAACCTACAATTGAATGAATTTACATTTTGAATAAATTTAATAAATTTATAGTTTAAATAAATTTGATAAAAATTATATATTTTAAATAACATTATATATTTTTAATTATTACCTGGCTAAGTAATTCTTTATGTGTTAATTGTTCATCAACAGGCAAGTTATCATTTGCATTTATTAACAATGAAAATAAATCAGTTCCTCGAACAAGCTTATTTTTTTGTTCAGCAATGAGTCTCTCAGAAATATTATTGATAGTTTTAATAGAATTATGATATTGATTATTGTAATGGGTTGGCAATTTTCTGATAAATGGAAAGGTGTCGAGAATTGCTGCGTATAAAGATGAAGGATTACGAGTAATTATTAATTTGTATGCTTGAGCTAATTCAGATTCTGAAATAGTAGAATTGAATTCGTAATTAAATCCTATTTACATTAAAATAATGTAATTATATGATTAGATTGATAAAATTTAATATCGATATGTAAAATGAATATAGATTAGGACTTACCAACTCGACCAATAACATCTAAAGTTATATTTGGAATTAATGCTGTAATCGTAATTCTTTCCTCTTTCTTATTACCAATTTGTTTTATCCAGAGATCCTTTAAATCATGACCAGCTTGAACGAATGTTGGAACCATTCTCTTAAAAATTAAGAAAATTGAAATAGTAAATGTAAAATGGTCAAATCATATTATTGATTGTTATCAGACACGCCATAGTGATAATTGAATTATTTCCGTGTAACTTATTTCATCTCCCAATGCAGTATACAAAATTTCACTCACCTCTTACGAGAAAGTGAAATTTGTATATTGTATTAACGAGTGGTCGAATAAGTTACACGGAAATAATACAATGCTTACGCCAGACATGTTGAATAACAAAGTTATCAGTCGAGTTTTTAGATGAATAATCAGTTATCACCTAAGACTCGACTGATTACTACTGTAAAAGAATACCTTAATATTAGTAAAAGCAAATGAAGGAGTCAAAATTTTTCTCTGTCGTTTATGAGAATCACCTTCAGCAAGTAAAATACCTTCACCTAACAAATCCTTGATCAAAGCTCTATCAAAGATCAACTTTGGATAGTCATATGAACAATTTACCAATATTTGTTGGACAAGTGTTGGATCGGAAATTATTAAATATGGTTTATTCAATATTCCGTGATATCTAACCATCCCACCATATTGTTTTACTAAGTAAGCAAAAGCTTCACCTTGTTGTCTATTTAAAATCGATGCATAGTGTCCTAGAATAAAATTATCAACAGGTGGACCAGGAATTTTGCGTAATGGCGACAAATATAAAGGATAGATATAATATTTGTACAAAAAGTAACAAATAATTGCAATAACTGTAGCCAAGTAGAAATACATTTTAAAGCACAAGGTGTCGAAAGAAGTGATTAAAATAATTGAATGTGATAAATATTTTTTATTTGCATGAAAAAAATCTAATATTCCTTTTATTAAAAAATTTTTGATGACGAAAACCTAGCATCAGGGAAAATGTTATGCCGATATCAATACCAATACGGTTGGCTTAGCCCGATCTTGAACATACTGAGTGCGTACATAAGTACGCGCACAGGTACATGTACATGCGTAAGTCTATAATATATTACATATATCCGAATCACTGAATGACTAGAATTTTAACAAGTATTCGATTATTCTTCATTACGTAGAATTTTAATTTTACCTTTTTTGTTATAGCTTAAAAAAAAACAATGAGAGAGATAATAATTGCGTTTGCATAGTAATTATCTGATTAATCAGATTATCTATGAAATGTTATCTGAATCAAAATATTTATCTAATTGTAGTTCTATTTCAGAACCGCATTTGTTTTAAGTAATTATCTATTTCCAGGATTTGAACAACAGTTCCAGGACATAGATCATATATAAGTTCAGAATAAAAATTTACACCTTTTGGATCTTAACAAAAAAATTATTACTATATTATTGCACTTTCTTACCCTAACATAAACATAAATGAACTTTTGTTCGATTGACTTGTTTTCCAAATATCAACGTGATATATCAGGTTAAAATATTCATGACAATAAAGACTGAGTTTCATAGAAATTTTACGTGAGATTTTAACATAAATCAAATATCATTTATAGAAAATTTTACGGAAGATTTTAAATAAATCAAATGTCATTTATAGAAAAAAATTCATATCGATATATTCAAAATTATACTTAAAAAAAAGCATGACTCATATTGATTCAAAAAATCAGTGATGGTCTAACGCTAAAGCCGGGTAGTTTTTAAAATTGATTACTAATCGATTTGTAAATTAAAAGTCAGGTGTCACGCATAAATCCTACAAAGCTTTAGGCGACCTCAAAAATTAGTTTTGCAGGTTTATATGCGGAATTCTGGAATCAGCGCTACGTAGAATGCGGGAAACATAGCCACAAATCTAAAAACAATTCAAATTTATCGTGTAACGTAACACCAAAGACATTTAATGGTTTAGGGGATAAAATAATTTTCTTTATGCATGGGCGAAAATTTTTGAATATTGTGATCATTAAAATTAAATGGTACTATATATTATATAACCACTCCAAATAAGGCGAGACCAATGATTTGGTGGTTTACATTACATTCCTTTTCAAAAGAGGGGTAGGACGTATACATAGTAAATTTTATTAAATTTTTTTTTCAATCGTAAATTATCGGCCTGACCTTGCTCGTCTTTTATGTTCGTTCATATTTCGGATCCTTACAATTTCTAATTTTAATTCCGCCCGCATTAGCTCTCCGGCCAAAATCATATATCTAAATCCCAAAAAAATTTTTTACTAAAATAGGGTTAATGTAAACCACCAAATCAAATTGGTCTGACCTAATAAAAATATATCGCGCAGCGTCATTATGTCAAAATATGCCAGTACAATCACATGAAATGTGTGAGGGATGGTTCGGTTCAACTTTTTGGTGCCCTCTATTTTAGAAAATGTTATGGCTATCATGTTTTTGCTTATGTAGATATTATTATAATAATCATGTATTTGTCATTTAAGGTAAGCATCGATTCTTGTTAAGGCCATAATTGATTTAATTAGATCGTTGTAATTATTACCGGTACCCATAATTAATAAGTATTTGTAATAAATATTAAGCGCCATCAACGAATACTGTAATTCTAATGTAATAGTCTATATCGTGTATTATTATGGATAGTTTATGACTCTAAGAATTCGTGAAATAAAAATAAAGTCTAATGCATATAATTGAGTAATCATATGCCCGATTAATCGTAACAATCCTTTATGAACCTACACAACAAATAATTTTGTTAAAAATCGTTTATCGAAGAACTTAGCCTTGGGCTTCGTCGTTGGGCATCATGGTTCACGGGATCATAGGTGATAGGATCATAACAATACCTAAACGTAGAACAAGCCAACAAGAGTAGATAGGGACTAGTGAATTAGTGTCCCAGTGACGGTTGTTGGTATAGCACAGTATAAGGTGTAGACTTGTTGGTGAAACTAAATTGTGCTGGTGAAACTGGTGTCAGAGGGTGAGTGGTCAACGCACACACCTACAACAAAAGGGAAAGCGACAGTCGATCTCTGGATAAAATAGGGCAGACCACAGATAATGACACTTAGTAGAGAGGTGAGGTGGATAACAACTTGGCACAGGTCTAAAGTGTTTACTAAGTCTTGTTAGGTAAATAATTTGATATGATTTTAAAGAATGTTGTAAATAGAATTTACTGGAGGGTTTTTATTAACAACTTTATTGGTTATAGGATGAATTGTACATGTACTCGATCATTTTTACCTTTTTGACAAGAGGAATTTGACCTCTTATTTATAACAAATTTTACAGGGCAAGAAAAAGAACAAGATTGAACTTTTTTTTATCATTTGTCATTGAACTGTCATTGAACTTCACGCCATACAGCCCTTTTCTGATCTAATTTCAACTATTACTCACAGCCATTTCATTGAAACATTTGACGAAATGAAAAGAAGACAAAAAGAAGGTAAGTCGAATAAAGGCTTTTGCATCATCATCATTCTTTACCCATCAATTTGCTCATTCATTTTATTGACTCTCCTATTGATTCATGTATTTTTATTGTTCGCAGCCACACATCTTACTCGACAAGGTAATATTATCTTGACAGTTGTCATACCGAATCAGGTAAGTAAGTGTCTTTTGCTTCAATGAGATTGTTGATGGAGTTTTGCTTTTATATGATTGTCATTTTGATGCTTCATTATAGAGAACTTGGCTTGGACAAATTTTTTGCATATAATTGTTATAGTAAAATCGTGGGTTCTAGAGCACTGCAGTATAACAGTGTTTGTATAATGATTTCATACGTCCAACATTAAGTATTCTGCATGATTTTTAGATTCTTTGTGCATGTAGTTTTGCCAGTAACAATTCTCTTCACCTTAATTTTTCATATCTCATGAAAAATCCAATGTGTCGATCTTTGTGATCACCTGATCACATGTTTCTTTCTAAGGCACAGTACTATAAATGATGATTTTTTTTTTCTTTTCAGCTACTAATAAAAATTTTATATACTAATACTAAAATAAAATAAAAAACTAAACTAAAAACTTAAACTCAACACAAAAAAAAACTTAATCTCAATAAAAAAACACATTCATATCCAAAATAAAGGGCCAACAAATTACCCTTGTCATATGCTCTTAACCCTGCATACAACTATCGTGTATGACCACATATGATCCAAGGTTTTTTTGTTGTTTTTTAACTTTCTAATTGTTCATGATATTTTTTGAGCAACTGCAGATTGAAGAGTGGTTTTATTACCTTGTCATACATCATATGTAGTTTATACGCATCATTTATCAACTTGTCATGAATGTAAAGCAGTCTGTTATACTTAGAGTTAAATTTGTCACTACTGAAATACTTTTAGCAGCATTTCCAACAAGACCTTTTCACCTATTTTGAATCTGATGCTTATTCAATGATGCTTATTGTGACGATCTTTGATCTGAGCTTGTTGTTGAGTGACTTGAATTCAGACTCCTTCTTGTAGTTGGAGCAAAGTTTTACAAGATTGAACAATCTCTAAAGGATGGTTCCTTCTAACATTTTTTTATTTTAATTAGGGTAAATTAGTAATTTCGCTTCACGGTCATAGACAAGCAAAAAAGATGATATTGGGTAGTTGAGCTTCGAGAGATTGATAAGCAAACAGCATAAATAGAATTAATAGATTTCAATCTATGACATTTTTTACAAGTTTGATGATAGTTTCACACAAGGTCTTGTTAAAGCATTCAACCAAAAAATCATTCATTTGGAGGCGGTAAGAGGTGAAGAAACTCTGGTTGATTCCTAATATACCTAATAGGTGCTTGATGATTTCATTTCGAAATGGGTTCTACTGTTTGACAAAATTTGCTTGAAACATCTATGATAGCAGATAATATTGTCATATATGAACTCAGTAACTATTTGTGAATCAGCTTGTTGTATAGCACATGCTTCCAGCTAATGGGTCATGAAATCGGTGGCTACAATGATATAATAGTTTATTTTGAGAGTATAGAACAATAGTTCTACGAAATCAATACTAGTTTTGTAGAAGAGCCAGTTATAGGCAGCAAGTGCAATTGGCCTTGTTTACGTGTTTGAATTCAGTGTTGATATAGATTACAGGCCTGGACATAACATTAGATATCAGCATACATCTGAGGTCAAAAGTATACACTACAGATCTTTTTGAACATAATATCTCAGTTGAAGTGTCTATCTAAAGGATGTGTATGCGCTAGGAAAAGAACCAGGATGACTTTGTAGCTATAAAACTCGAAGCAACCTTTTTTTGCTTTTATGATTTTTTTGGTATAAGAAACCTACCTTGACTTCAAAATAGATGCTTTTCCTTTTTATTTATGCTTGTTAAACTGGATCAGCAGTGATAGATAAGTATTGCTTTACTATATATTGCACCAGATGCCTATTGTGGGTAAGAGCAATAGGACTTTAAGATTTATATATATAGGTATATATTATCTATATATATATATATTGTATATATGTGAATATATACTTTTTTTTCTATTTACTGCTATAGAACTGTATATAGCTTTTTTTTTCTCTTTTTTTATTTTTTTTGTTTAGTAGTTGCCAACGATTTTTTTTTTTTTCTGTCAGATTTATTTTCATTTTTTTTTTCTTCATGGGCCAAGACACTAGTAACCTGGACTGGATTTTTTTGGGGTCCAGATTTAACCTCTTCTTTTTTTTTTTTTTTTTTTTATATAATTGACAGTTTTAACTAATTGGATTACTTTATTTTTATCTTCTTTTTAAAAACGGTATTAAAAGATTCACTTAGAGGCTCTCTAAAGCGGC